TGCAGTTATCCTGATACCCAAACCACATAAATACACAACTGAGAAAGAGAATTACAGACCAATGTCCCTCATGAATATTGACACAAAAATACTCAATAAAATAATGGCAAACTGAATCCAAGAACACATAAAAAACAAAGACAAAAACATCCACAATGACCTAGGATGAGGATTCATCCTCATCCCAGAGATGCAGAGATGGTTCAACACACGAAAATCCATCAATGTAATCAACCATATAAACAAACTGAAAGAAAAGGCACATGATCATCTCACTAGATGCTGAAAAAGTCTTCAACAAAATTCAATTCAACACCCCTTCGTGATAAAGGTCTTAGAGAGAAAAGGAATGCAAACAGAATACCTAAACATAATAAAGGCAATATACAACAAGCCAACAGCCAACATCAAATCAAATGAAGAGGAATTCAAAATGATCCCACTAAAATCAGGAGCAACATGAGACATTCCCCCCCCCCTTTTTTTTTTTTTTTTTTTTTTTTTTGCTAGAGCGGTAAGACAACAAAGGGAGATCTCAAGGGGATACACATTAGAAGAGAAGAAGTCAAACTTTTCACTATTTGCAGATAATAATATAGTATACATAAGCAACCCCAAGAATTCTACCAGAGAACTCATACGGCTGATAAACATCTTCAGTAATGTGGCAGGATACAAGATTAAATAAAGAAAATTCAATAGCCCTCCTATATAGAAATTACAAATGGACTGAGAAAGAAATCAGAGAAACATATAACCCTTTACAATAGCCACAAGTAACATAAAATATCTTGGGATAACTCTAGCCAAACAAAGGAAAGACCTGTATGCCAAGAACTTTAAGTTTTTGAGAAAAGAAATCTAAAAAGATATCAGAAAATGAAAAGATCCCTCATGCTCTTGGATCAGTAGGATTGACATAGTAAAAATGGCAATCTTACCAAGAGCAATCTACAGATTCAACACAATCCCCATCAAAATCCCAGCACAATTCTTCACAGAACTAGAAAGAACAATACTCAACTTCATATGAAAAAAAAAATCAGGATATCCAAAACAATCCTGTACAATCAATAAGGGAACTTCAGGCACATAACCATCCCTGACTTCAAGCTCTACTATAGAGCTACAGTAACAAACAAACAAATAGCTTTGTATTGGCATAAAAACAGACATGTGGATCAATCAATGGAAACCAATTAAAGACCCTGATACTAATCCACACACCTATGAACACCTGATTTTTTTGGCCAAGAAGCCAAACTTGTACAATGGAAGAAGGATATCAACATATAGAATAATACAAATAGATCCGTACCTATCCCCATGCACAAAACTCAAGTCCAAGTGAATCAAAAACCTTAACATAAATTCAGGTACACTGAACCTGATAGAAGAGAAAGTGGGAAGTACCTTTGAACACATTGGCATAAGGGACCACTTCCTAAATATAATACCAGTAGCATAGACTCTGAGAACAACAATGAATAAATGGGACCTCCTGAAACTGAGAAGTTTCTATAAAGCAAAGAACACAGCCAATAAGATGAAATGACTCCCTACACAATGGAAAAAGATCTTTACCAACCCTACACCTGACAGAAGACTGATCTCCAAATATGTTTTAAATTATGTTTCTAAAAACTCAAGAAACTAGACACAAAAATGCCAAATAATCCAATTTTTTAAAAACTGGGGTACAGATATAAACAGATAATTCTCCACAGAAGAAACTCAAATGGCAGAAAGAGATTTAAGGAATTGCTCAACATCCTTAGTCACCAGGGAAATGCAACTCAACATTACTCTGAGGTACATCTTACTCCTGTCAGAATGGCTAAGATCAAAACCACTGATGACTAGAGAGGATATGGAGTCAGGGGAATGCTCCTCCATTGCTCGTGAGAACTCAAACTTGTACAGCCACTTTGGAAATCAGCATGGTTGTCTCTCAGAAAATTGGGAATCTGTCTACCTCAAGACGCAGAAATACCACTTTTGAGCATATATCCAAAGGATGCACACTCACATCACAAGGACATTTGCTCAACTATGTTCATAGCAGCATTATTTCTAATAGCCAGAACCTGGAAACAACCTAGATGCCCCTCAACCAAAGAATGGATAAAGAAAATGTGATGCGTTTACACAATGGAGTATTACTCAGGGGAAAAAAATAACAAAAACATTCTGAAATTTGCAGGCAAATGGATTGAACTAGAATAAAACCATCTTGGATGAGGTAATCCAGACCCAGAAAGATAAGCATGGTATGTATTTACTCATAGGTGTATATAACCAGGCAGGCTACAATCCACAACCCCAGGGAAGGCAGGTAAAAAGGGGGACCCTAAGAAGGACACATATAGAGGGTCCCAGGAAGGAAAAATAGTTAAGATCTCCTGGGTATACTGGAGGAAGGGTAACAGGAAGGGCATGGAGGATGGAAAAGTGAGGGATCAAGAAGATCCAGTTGGGGGAGGGAAGGAAGTGAGCAATGGAAATGTTATCTTGATAGAGGCAGCCTTCATGGGGTTAGGGAGAAACCCAGTGCTAGGGAAATTCCCAGGAATTCACAAGGATGATCCCAGCTAAGACTCCTAGCAATAATGGAGAGGGTGCCTGAATGGGCCTTCTCCTTTAACAGATTAGTGACTGCCTTAATTGTCATCATAGAAATTACATCCACTAACTGAAGGAAGCCGAGGCACTGACCCACAGATTAGTAATTAGTAATCTATAATAGTGGTATGTCTTCAAGGCCATGCACAGATATATTTAGATAGATAAATGATCTTCAAATATTTCAAAGACCTACAGAATATGGCATTTAATATGTTTAAGAAACTAAAGTTTTTCATGAGAGTGAGACACATTTGCTCCTGACAGCAATCTACTTCAAAAGAAGATGATGGACATCAAAGAACCTCTATGTGGACTTTTTCTTCATGGCAAAAACTAACCATTTGAGCAAAAAATTGCCCTTTCTCAATTACTGACAGTATACTGTCCAAAGTAGATAGGCAAAACAAAAAAGAAAACAACTGACGAACTTTGCCAAGACAAGATAGGATAATTATTCAAAATTCCTGCTTCTCAGAAATGTCTGTCAGATATACCAGGATTGTAGGCCAGGGTTGGATGCCCCAACATTACAGAAGAACCTAGGGTGACTGTCCAGGCATCCATACATCCCTGTCATTAAATAACATTTTACCCTTCTGGGATTTTTAATGGAGTTAAAGACTAAATAGTTAAACTTATAGTTTTCCTTAGTTTTGATAAAAGGTAAATCAGCTATAAAACTTTAGAGTCAAAGAAGACAAGATAGATAGTAGAGTATTTTCTCTAATTTTGCCAAATACAAATGAACTGGAAATTTTAACTGTAATTCTTATTTGATGCTACGTTAAAGTTAAAACCTTCCTTTTTAATTAAAAAAAAGGAAAATTATGTAGAACATTCTTTGTACGCTATAAGTATGTATTGCTCTCATTATTAATAAAAAGCTGAATGGCTGATAGCAGGGCAGGAAAAGGTTGAGCAAGATAAGACTGGACAAGATGTCCTGGCACAGAAAGAATGATGGGAAGTGTAAGGGGTACGGTTTTTCCGCCTGCCGCCTCCCAGTCTGTCTTCAGCAATAAGACCTTACCATCAGCCTTGGAAATAGTTGGGTAATTTAGAGGTTACCCCTACTTTCTTATCTATACCTAACCTCTGTGGTTATATGGATCATAGCCTGCTTGTCAAAGACTTAACAGCTAACATATAAAGTGTAAACAAATGCATACCATATTTGTCTTTGGGGGTCTGGGTTACCTCACTCAGAATGATTTTTTTCTAGTTCCATCCATTTACCTGCAAACATTTTTTTTCCCTAAGTTGAGTGGGAATGAATCTGGGAGAAGTTAAGAGGAAGGAGTTGCAAGTGAAATTATATGAAATTTCAAAGAATCAATAAAATATTTTTAAAAGAGTTGAATTCAAATTGCATGTGTGACATAACATAACAAATTAAGATTATCTGCCCATAAAATTGTTAAACTGTAAGAGTTTTGCTTATTGCGATGAATCAGGCAAACTTCATTGTTGTTTGGATTTCATGAAATGTTTTCTCACACATTGATTTCTCTTAACAAAATATGAGAATTACAAGATGTCAGATTTTGAGCCAGCTAAGATAAAGGAACTCCCAAATAAACATGAACAGTGAACTCTTTTTGCAATCAGAGAAAGGCAGAAGAAAAAAACCACAGAGAGCCAAAAAGCTTCACATGTTAGCCCTTTATTAAGTTTTGAATACAAAAGGCATCTGCTCCATCTTTCTACCCATTGGAAACCGAAGGTCAGGCCTCAAAGCTTTAATCAACCCATTACATTCCCAGTTCACTTGTCAAGTTCCCAACTCAGCAATGGCCAGATATACTCTTTCTCTAACTCTTTATTTTCCCCTTTCTCTTTTTATTACCAAAATGCCTTCAAAACCATAAATATTATGTTGTTGATTTAGACCCCTACATCAATTATGCCCTGTATAGAAAAAATGGTCTATTATTCTTTAAGTATTGACCATGTGGTTTTTATTGACTATATAGCTAGCAAAAGTAAAATTACAAATAAGAAGTAGCAGGTAGAGACAAACAGCAAATAGACAAAGAAACATCATCAAATCAGGGGCTTACCCTACCCAGAAGATATGACTAGAGTAGCCCAAGTGGAAGAGAAAGCAAATGTAATCTTAAATAAGGCCCTTAAGACAGTGGTAGAAATGACTAGGAAGGCCCTGATGAAACAGTCATGCTGAAACTCCACAGTGCTAGTGGCCTTTTATGAGAATGGTTCCTTAGGCTCACATGCTTGAATCCTTGGTCCCCATTGGACAGGATTATGAGTTATGGCTTTGTTGGAGGAGGTGTCTCAGAGTGTGGACTTTGAAGCTTCCAAAGACAGCTGTTACTCTGCTTCCTGCTTCCTGTTCAAGAAAGGAGCTCTTTGCTGTGCCTGCTGCTATCCAGATATCCAACCCCTGGAAACAAAACGTAAGTCCAATAAAATGCTTTCTTTTATGAGTTGTAGTGGTAGTGATGTCTTGCAATAGCAATACAAAGTAGCTAATACAGTGCCTTACAAGAAGGTTTCAGTTACAGGACTGAGCTTCCTGTCTGTTTGCTATTCCCAAAGTAGGTATCTTTATACCATGAGAAAGACAATAACTTCTGTTGGCAATGGTTGTTCTGGAGGGCTCAACGTCTTGAATACCTTTAACTGTTTCCTGTTATCCTTTCTCCTCATCACAGGGGTGGGAGAAGGGGGAGTCTGTCTGAGGAAAGGCTCTTGTAGGAGGTTTGAGATGAAAACTTGAGTCTGAAACTGGAGGACTTGTGCTCTCAGATTTGGCTCCCAGTATGTGTAAATAGTACGTATCAATTTACGAACAGATGTAACAGATACGTCTTCTGCAAACACATTATTCTCAACTCCTTACTCACTATACAAAATTTCTCACTTCACCGCCCCCATTTATTCCATAGCATTGCACTATCACTATATATATATATATAAGTTGAGTATCAGTTCATTTCTGTGTTGAGGGGATATGTCATATTTTACCTCTGTTTCATCAGCATCTGACCAAGTAGGCAACTCTGAGTGAATAAACAAAAAAATAAGGTACAACATACACAGATGTTTATCAAATAGCTGGCTCAAGGAGGGAAGATGGAGAAAGAGGCAGAACGGTTTGAATATAAATATAAATGCAATTTAAAGTGTTGCTTAGCATGAGTGAATTGTATAATTATGAAGAGAATCAGCAAACAGAAGTCTGCAGTCAAAAATTAATCCTTATACTATATATGAGAGAAATGGGGAGAGTCAAGCATATGGGAGAATGGAAAGATGGAAACTGACTCCTTCACTGATTTTTGGGACTCTACCCCTCATACTGGGTCACCTCACCCAGCCTTAATACACAGAGGGGTGCTTAGTCTTACTGCAACTCAATATGCCACGTTTTGCTGGTGTTTCTGGGATACCTGCCTTTCCCTAAACAGAAACAGAGGCGGAGTGGATTGAGGAGGGTGGTAACAGAAGGGACTGGGGAAAGGGACAGGGAGGAGAGGAGGAAAGAGAAATTGTGGCTGGGATGTAAAATGAATAAATAAAGTTTTTTTAAAAAAGGAAAGAGCAGTAAGGGAGAGAAACACCCTTCGCCATCAACTGAAAACACAGCATCTACATCAAGGTTCCTCCGGGACTAGTCCATCTGGCAGCTCATCCCACTCTGTGTAAAGTTCTTTCTCAGCCACTTCCCTTGCCTCAGGTTATCCTTCCTGGGAAATCTCCAGTCTACCAGAGAGAGTTGCATACTGGTTCAGGGCACTTCTCACTGTTGATTGTGGTTGTGCCCCCCTGGTCTCTCTAGACCCCAGTAAAATAGCTGAGAGCCTTGCTCCAAAAACTTGCTCTAGTATCTAAATTGGGGCCAAAATTAGTATTGCATGAACTTACAGAAGAGAAGAATGAAAGAAGACAATATCCATAAAGAAAGACTCTTGGCCTCCATGTCCAGTATGTTCAACTGGCTTGGCTAGCGCTATCCCTATGGCCTTACTATTTGTGGCATCCATGCCCTCACTCTCTCCAACTGTCTCTATTTGTTGGCTGTGCGTCTCCTTTACAGGTGTTCCTGGCACCTCTAACATTGTGGGGTCTATACTGCAGCCTATGCATCATCATTATAGCCTCACCATCAGCCTCTCAGAGGCTCCCTAAAGGGAATCTAACCCTATGATGCATTACTCTGAGTTCACAGGCTTTCTTTCAAATCTAGGTAAAAAGCCTCCATGATTCCAGAACTCCTTGCATTATCTGTACCTGAAAAACTAGCCTTGTGTAAATGTTGCCAGGTTCTGTTGAAAATTGAAGCAGTAGTTGGATCCTCTTGGACTTCTCTTGTCTGACAATCAAATGCATTGCTCAATTTCCCTCAGACTTCAGAAAATTTCCTCACCTGAAAAGTGAAACTTTAGGCTCTAAGGATGGTATTCATGTTCTATCTCTCCCAGATTTGTGCAGCTCACCTTCCTGTAACACAGCCCCACATTCGAGTATTTTCTGGTGTGAAGGCACAGAATCAGTGGAATGACATGGCTTTCCAGGCCTCCAAACACCTATCTGTGATGGCCATGTGACCTCTCTAAGGACTGGAAAGCCAAGAGCTTGGGGCCAGCCCTTTCCCGTGTATCAGTGGTCTTCACTAGAGGGTGAATATTGACATCAACAGGACTGCCTGGCATTCCTGAATTGATTTCTAGGTGTTTCCCAAATGATCGTGGCTTTGAAACTCATTAGCAGTCACTGAACATCACATTGGGGACACAGACACTGGAAAAGTCAGGGCCTTGATAAAGACCACAGTCTGTTGATATAAATCTCCACCCTGCCCACTTCCTAGATACTACCTCCTCCCTCTTTGGTCCTTAGAGGTTGACAATGACACGTTTAAAGCCCTGAGCTTTCACTGATTTAAAATGGTAACCAATGGATAACATATGAAGAAAACCTTGGAACCAGCCAAGGACTTGTTTCTGGCCCCTTTTCACGCTACCCTCCCCTGGGTCAAATATCAAAAGCCAGATTCACAGCTTGTGAAATCGCTCACTGTAGAGGCTTTGGGCCAATGATTGGCAGGGAACACATCAGCCTTGACCTTCATCCTTATACAGCATTGGATCGCTGTGCCTTGCATCTGGCTACACCATATATTTATGGAGTGAGCTCTCCTCTGGGGCTAAAGGAGGCAAAGATCCACACTGTGAGATAGCTCTCTCATGGCTAGTCATCTGTTTGGGACATCATGGAATCTTGTGAAGATCTATAATCTCCCATGTTGTTCAGATAGCTTGTCCTGTGATGTGGAATGTGTTATGAATAAAGTTACAGCAGCAAACTACCTGCAATGATCTCATGGTCTCCAGTCCTAGACAGTATGTATCCTTTCACCTAGAAAATCCTGGGAATGTCTGGTGTCTTCCAGATGTGGTGGGTTTAAAGGTCTAGAGCAGTCCATACCTGAATGGACTATTACCCTAAGCATTGCTGTGTCTTGGTAAACACAGTCATCTTTGTATACACAAGGAATTCATTGCTACCCCCTCTCAACAGTGTCCAAGACAAGTAATTTCTTGCTGCTTATGACAAGCATGGCACCAGAAGTAGGCAGAGTGAGTAAACCCCACCTATATCCCCCCCCAGGGCCTCTACAAAGAGAAACACGTGGGAGTGTACTCTGAGTCAGAAGTACTGACCTTGAAAGTGCAGGCTGGCTGCAGTGAACCAAAATCTCTAAGTTCCTGGAGCCTCTGAGGAGAAAGCCACAGTGCCTGGCACTAGGCTATCCACCCTGAGATTGGCAGCCTATGAGTCTTCTGCCACCAGGGCAAAGGGAATGGAAGCATCTAGAATACCAAGGGAAGCCAAGGAGTAGTGATGCGGAGACTCTGTTCTAGGTAGTGAGCTGAGTGGGGGATAAAGGTCAGACAGGAAGGGGATGGACAGAAGGGTAGGGAAAATCAAGCCAAGTGACTGCACAGATTATACTTACGACCTCCCCATTTGGAGATCATATGTGAAAGAAAGCCCATAGTCAATGCAAGGGAAACCCTATAATGTATGTTCACTTTTCCCATTTCCCTAGGAATATATGGAGCTTAAAGTTTATATGTCATGCTCAAGAAATTAACTAACTGACCCTAAGGAATCCCTCATCCCTGTTTGCCAAAATAACTGCCCAGGCTACTTTTATAAGATTGCACATATTTGGTACAGAGCAATGGCTCAATGGGTAAAGGTGCCTGTTGTCAGGCCCGGTAACCTGAATTCTGACCCTGGGACAGGAAAGGTGGAAGGAGAGGGCAGACTCTCAGAAGTTTTCTTCTGCTCTCCGCACATACTTCATTATACACATGTATGCGCGCACGAATGCTGCACATGCTCAAGCACGTGCACACAGAGATACATTCACAACTTTAAAAAGTATAGGTACTGTGTTTCACTGCATCAAGTCAAAAGGGAATGAAAAACACATCCACAAAGACTTCTCCAAAGTTAAAAATGTGTCTGCACTCAACTAATGAAACCCAAGAATTTCAAATTCAGTTCATATGCTTCCTTTCACCTGTGTGGCAGAAGCCTATTTTATCAGCACATTTAGTCAGGGAAATTCTACAGGGTGCAGATTCCCTCCTGATTTATGTGCTTGTCTTATTGCTATGACAAAACACCTGACAAGGAGCAACTTAAGGGAGGAAGGGTGTAGTCAGGCATATAGTTCCAGAAGACACATCCCATCCTTGTAGGCAAGGCATGGCCACAAGAGGAGGAGGCCAGCTAGTCACATTACTCCTTTAGTCCGGAAGGAGAGAGTGAGCAGGGAGTAGCAATGGACTCTAACATCTCTTCCTCCATCAAAGCTTCCTAGATCTCCCACAGCTTTCACAAACAGCACAACCAGCTGTGGACCAACAGTTTAAACAAAGGCACCAACAGGGTACATTTCCTGTTCAAACCACAACAGCCTCCATCCTGCCCATGGACTGATAAGGCATCCTGTGGTTCAAGATGCATGTGTTCCTATGTCCAAAGTCCACAGTGTCAACACTAGAAACAATGTTCCAAAGTCCAGAGCTAAAATAGTCTCTTGACTGTAAACACCTTCGAGAGAGAGAGAGAGAGAGAGAAAGAGAGAGAGAGGAGAGAGAGAGAGAGAGAGGTCACTTTCTTCAAAACAAAAATAAGCATTCTCTTTGGGAAAGAAGAATGGAGCATCACCAGAGCCAAGCAAGACCAAATCCAAGCAAGGCAAGCATGGGAGTCATGCAGTTCTATATCTGACTCTAGACAGGTATGAGACTGCCTGTGCTCCAAATGGGCTCGCTTCCCTTAGGAAACACCTGCGCTCTTTTCTCAATTTAGGCTTATTTGTGAACACCAGGTTTGATTTAATGTTCTGAGAAAATGACTGCTGAGCCAATCAATA